ATTCTGCACTATCTTTAAAATATTTCTTAATTTTGGGTTGGAAAAGTGGGGTTCGTCTTGTACATGGGGGCATCTTATTGACGGAAAAATATGGTATATAATTAAATTCCCTTTATATGGGGTTTTATTTGATGTTAAATCAGCATCTGAGTAGGTATCTCAAACCATATTATGGGAAAAACTATAAAAAAACTAGTACAGATAGAAGTCTGATATTTTAAATTTGGAATCTGTATACAAATACATTGCTCCAAGTAACATGTAGCATCCACAAAGAGGGTACCAACTGTAGAATGGGTGCATTCTTTCAATTGCCTTGTTCAATTTTTATATTAATGATATGCCAAGCACGTTGGAACCACTTGGAACTCCATGCCCCTAAAATTTCTGCATGGAGAATATTGTTTACTGTTTTATGCTGATGAAATAGTGGCTTTCTCTTATTCTTTGGCTCAGAATAGCCCTGAAAGCTATTATGTACTTCGGTGAGCTCCGTAAGTTGATCATAAACTATCAGAAATCCAAGAGAATGGTATTTTCCCAGAAGCCAAAACAGCACAAATGGATTGTGGGTGGAAATAGTATACAAGAAGTCTCTTCCTTTAAATTCCATGGAATGAATAGAATGCATAGAATTTTATGCTAGAATCCTGGAAAGCTCACTATGAATACATCAAGGAAACAGTGTCCAAATCCTTGGTGCCTATCAAGAGATTCTTTTGAACCAAAGGAGGGAAGTTTGTACCTGCAGCTCTTAAACTTTTGTCTATAATTTTTAATTATTTATTTATTAAAACTTTTGAACAAGAAGATAAAAACTAATACAAACTAACATAAAGGAGAAAAAAGGAAGAAATCAAAGAAAAAGCAAAAAGTGCAAGAAAATTTTAAAAATTGAAGAAAAATAGAAAAAAGATATAAAGTGGCTTCTGATATTCTTCACAGCAGTTGCGTGTACAAATATATTTTAACCTCTCTAAAGTTACATCATATTACTCTTCTTTCTATAATCTACCTTATCTAATCATCAAAACTACAAATCACAAGTACATATTTTTTCATTTTTATACAAAAAGTCCATAAGAGGCTTCCAGTCACTTATAAATGTAGATAGTGTCTTCTCTCTAATCAAAGAAGTCAATTTATCCATTTCAGCAAAATCTCTCAACTTCACCAACCATTCCTCCATAGTGGGTAGTGTCAAATCCTTCCATCTCTGCACATATAGCAATCTCGCCACAGTAATCATGTACTGAAATAATCCTCCACAGCTTTTTTCTAACTGCTTATCCATTAATCCTAAAAGGAAAAAGTTCTGGCTTCAATTGAATATTGACCTTTAAAATCCTCTGTATCGAAGTATGTATTTGAATCCAAAATCTTTTAGCTTTTTTACATGTCCACCAAGCATAATAAAATGTCCCTTCATGTTGTTCACATTT